AGTGTTAACTCGAGCGCTCACGTGCTGCTTGTGATCCGTCCAGCTCATTTGTATCCCTAATTTTAAATTTTATTACACATATATTTGCCTCATTGAATTTAATCACTTCGATTTTGGGTGAAGGTTTAGAGGGTGTTTTCCTTAATGATGTATTTTATTTTTTTTCCTTTAAGACTATAAAAATATTGATAAATTTAATTCTAAAACTTTATTTTATTTTTTTAAAATCTAAAGGTTCTTGTTTGTTATCCTAGATGAAACAACCTGAAATTTCTATGGCCAATTTATTTTAGCAGAACTTTTGTAGTTCTATCCGTTGATTAATTGGTTTTTTTTTTTTTTTTGTGAAATATACTAGTCTGTGGTAAATAATTGATTTGTGAATTTTACCTAAATATAAATATTAATTAATACATAGAATTTATTTCCATACAATTAATAGCATACAGGTTTTTGAAACAAGAATTTTCCGACTTTTTCATATTTAAAAACCAGATAAAAATTCCATTCCTACCATATAATTTTTGGGAGAAGCTATTGTCCCGTTACAGAATCATTCATTGGGTTTGTATTCGTTAGATCATCACGTAAACATTAAGGATAGTTGATCTAATAGTTACAAACATTGACGGAATAGTTCTGTAATAGTACCGTAACATTTCCCACAAATTTTATTTTCAAACAGTCACCATCTCCTTTTGCCACCCACACTCAGAATCGAGGAATGTAATAAGTAACAACTAACAAGACACGCATTCTTTTTTTCTTTCTTATTTTTTTTTTCCTCCAACTTTTTACTCACTTTGTACATTATAGTCTTAAAACAATAGGCTCTTTTGGACTAAATACTTTAGTTATTGCACGCTTAATAACGACAATCTTGACCATTCATTCTCGATTTTGAGCCGTTAGATCAACACACACTTATAGGTGTACGTGTAAGCTCGCATGCATGATTCAAAAAGTTCGAAACTCAATTCAGACAATGTCGAATTAGCGTGGAATCATTGATGCAGTGATATGTTAATTTCAAGTTACAAAATGCAATTACATGTTTTTATTAATTCGAGATGTATTGAAAATTAATTTTACCTTGACTAATTCAAAAGCTCGGAATAATTCAATTTTGTGTCGAGACACTCATATTCATTGTCGTTAGACACGACCGAATTTTTAAAAATGACTCGACAAGATAGCTGGTCATGTCTAGAATTTATTGTTTCCAATATGAAATATGGATTTCATGTTGGAGACTAATTAGCTTATGCTCGTGTCCGAATGTTGCCTTTTAATCGTTAATTAGCTTATTTAATTCATTGTGTAAGTTTATCGTTAATCAATTATCATAGATCTGAATTAACTAACAGGGGTTGGTTCAAGTGGTAAACAGTTTGATGTCGCTTAAGCAAGATCTCGAGTTCGAGTCCTTGTGGATGCAGAAAACCTTTGTTGGGAGACTCACCCACCACTGCCAGGTGTGCGACCCGGGTCGACCAACGGATTAGTCGGGACATAACTCCAAATACCGTGGCTGGCTACCAAAAAAAAAAAAATAGATCTGAATTAAGGATAATGGCCATTATAATATAAGTCATTCGTTTGAAACCTAATACTAAGATCCAATTCATACCGGTAAAGTAGATTTGATTCATTATCATACTTATTTTTTCTAAAATGCATGAATTAATATATATTCCCGCAGTTAGGCACCACAATGATTTGAAGTGAGTCGAGTCCTGAGCATTTCGAGCTCGTGTTCAATTATTTTAAGAAACTCTATGTATTTTTTGTTTATTTTTCAAATAAAAAATCGTATCGAAGCTCGTTCATTTCATTGTTCGTCAAACTTTGAGTTCATTCATGTCTGAATAATTTAGTAAACAACTTCTTAAGTTTGTTCGATTTACTCGAGATCTATTTGTTAAAATTCTTTTGCGCTTTTAAATTTTCCGAAACATATCATCCATACAAATATATAAAAAAAAAAGAAAAAAAAAATCGACTTTAAATTGATTGCAAATATAACGAATGTTTGTGAACAAGCTCGTGTTTATTCGTCTATTAAGCTGGTTTCTTTTTTTTTGTGTTCAAATTCTCTTTGATCGAAAAACGAATGAGCTCTCCTCGAACACCAATGGACTCAGACAAACTTTTGTTCACGAACGTTAGGTTCGTGAACAACCCTAGTTTGCATGATATTAAATACGCACGAAAATAAACAGAAATTAGTTAAATTTGAGTTATCGCCAAATTTTTGATGAAATAAAATAGATAACTCAAAAAATACTATAATAAAACACGAGTACAACACTATAATACAATTTATATCCCAATATCAAAAAAAAAAAAAAAAAAAAAAA